CTTGTCATCAGCCATAGGACTGACCCCGGGACTAGACTCGCTTAGTCTTTATGTTGATTTTTCAGCTTCCATAATAATTACAGAATCTCTTTTCCCAAGAGTGCTGACTGAAAGCATCCCTTTTGTCTTAGTGAAGAAAGAAACACTCAGTTACCCTGAAGATGACTGAAGAAGAAAGTTAGCAAAAGCTCTACACCACTCAGGCACTGAGCCACTCCAGACATCATTGTACCATAAAAGTTACTTGTCTAGTGCTCTTTATCTACAAGGCACTTGAATATTAGCCAATCTTTTCAATAGCTCTCTTGAGGTATTCTAGTATCTGAATAACAGAAGTAATGAGTGTTGTTTGCCCAAGGCCAAGGAGGGAATTGGGGGTAGAATTGAGATTACACTAGAGTTTCTGGTCTAGCTGTCAATCCACTAGAACATGTTGCGTTTCTTTGCCCCAAGGCCATCCAGTCATTGCAAACGAAGCCCCTGACAAAATTTTACAGTGGTGACTACTACAGGGTTTTTATCTTTGTTCCACACTATGTGCTGCTCTCCCAGAACGTTTGTGAAGTTTAGTGACCGTAATAGGCTTTGAGCATACACTGTCTCTGACTCGGTTCCCCCTGTGCAAAATGAGGCCAGTATCTATGATGTGTAGGTCACTCGTGTTTTTGAAGTGCTCTCAGATAATCTTTGGTTACTTCAGAAATGCAAATGCTATTATGGCACATGTTTTAATGTCTTTAGAGGATGTTGTAGAATAAATGGTTTACTTTCTCTTTTGTCTATCTCTTTACTGTTTTCTTAATACTTCAGTAAGGATGCTTGAGAATATCCTCCTGGTTTGTTTAAAAAACTATTACCACCTTCTTTTTTTTGTTGTTTTGTTTTTCTTTTTCTTTTTTTAAATTTAGAGTTTGTTTGAAGTTAGCGTGGTCTTTGCTCACCCAGAAACAGACAAGGAGTGCCATTTCCTGTAAGTTTTTATATAAATAACAAAAGATCTTTATCTAAATATTGTGCAACTTTGTTGGTTTGGGTTTGCTACTGATGAGAATATGCACTGTTTATAAACTAGAATGGGGCCTGCATCTGAACTTCCTCATATTCAGATAGAGTTGTAGAGCTTAAGTTACACCATGTCTGGTTAATTCAGTGCTTTAAGGCCAATAAATCACCCAGAATTTTGATTTGAACTGGAAAGAGAACATTCAGGTAAGTTGTTCAATTTCAAAGTCATCCTCTTCGATATAGCCGTGTCATTTAAAAAAGTGAATTCAAACCCTGTAGTTGCAGGTGGGGGAAGCTTTTGAGGTCATGCCTAGGTTTTCTTGCTCTTATAGGAGACGTGGATGGGAGGGAAGGCTTTGAAGTGAGTTAATCCAAGTTAGCTAGTTGATTAAAACAAACAGAAGTTCCCTGGCCACTACACATAGTTTTTGGCCTGACCCAGTAGGGCATCTGCTACACACAAAGCAGCAAAATATTTCTGTGAATTTAGCTGTAATTTAATCTGATTTCTCAAAATCTAGCTGTAGTATATTCTGGATAATTAGGTTCACTCTTCCTGTTTGCTGATGCTTCCTGGAAAACTTAAGTTTTGTTACTTGTGCTCCTACTGTAAGTTAAATCTTAGCATAGAAAGAGGCTCAGCATAGACTGCTTTGTGGTATAGTGAATTCATCTCTTGCGACCAGAGATTTCCTTTGCAGCTTTTATGTTTCCCTGATTTTACCCCTTCGAGCAATTTGTGATCATAACTACAATTCTAAATAATGGTACCTGCAATCCTGTAAAAACTCAAGTGTTTCTGGATCCTGCACCCTTTTGTTCTTATTTATTTAATTTTACTTGATCAGTTCTTATTTCTGTAGTGCTCTTCCTTCCTCTGAAACCTTTCAGCTCTTATTTTCAGCTCATCCTGCCATTCTTTTTGTGACATTTCAAAAATATTGATGTCAAGCATGTTATGGTGCCAATGTTAGTGTTCCAAGCAGAATAGTTGTAGAGGTGAAAGCTGTAAAGAAGTTCCATTCCACATTCCAGCTACTTAGGTATATTCCATGTGACCTGACAATATCCCTTTGTTTGCCTTCTCTTTGTAGCATACTTAAACAGCAATTAAGGCTTTAGCCATTTTTCTGAAGTAACAGCATATTACCTAATTTAATTGCATAGTAGTTTCTCAGGCATCGAGGCATTCTGCATATGTGAATGGCTGGCTCTGGGCATATTCTGAGGCAATGGTTTTGTTTTGATGTAAATATGGTTAATTTGGCAATTGTCACAGCTTTAGTCATGACAGTCATGGTTTTTATGAAAGCAAAGTAGGACCTTTTCTCAACCTGGAGAAGTCTTCCAGGTATGCTTTTGGGTGGGATTTCCAAGTATGGCATCTGCAAGTTCTCATCTCTCAAGCTGTTCTTACACAATTATGTGTAGGTCGGTGTGCTAAAATGACCCTTGGTTTGACATGGAAGATTGAATTGCCTCTTGTTAGTTTATATTTGGAGATTGATATTTATAGGTAAGGTGATACTGAAATTGTGGAAGAGGGAATTAGCGATCCTTCGTGTCACAAACTGGCAAGGCAAGTTGCTTCTATAGAAACAGCAAGAGGTCAGACCTGCTTCCTTATAGTTTAAAGTAGTCACAGAGGCGCTGAAAAGCACCAGCAAGAAATGGTAAATTGTGTTGTAGGCTAGAAATCATCTCTAACTGCATACATAGAAATCCACTAATAGGAACAGCACCTTCCTCTACAGTACTCAGAAAAAGTATTTCAGTGGCTTTCCCTTTCATGAAACAACCAATAGTTTCCTTTTGAAGAGGCAAAGCACAAATGGTATTGAACACCTGGGTTTACTTTTTCTGTAGTAAATTGAATTTTCCTATCCAGAAGCAGCTATTTGAATCTCTGGTTTGTCATGTGTGTTGTCTAAGAACAGCAAGTATAGATTTCAGGATGTTAGCAAATCTTGCACAGAACTGAAACATTAATTATGACCTTTATTGAGAAGGATTGGAAAGGAATGAAAGCCAAACTTCTTCTGTGCTTTTGCATCCCATCTCAAAGGTGAGACACATCTGTGTTGGTCAGAGCAAAAGAAGCTTACGCAGCTTTCTCCATGATTTCTCTGTAGATCAAGGAATGCACACCTTCCACCGTTGTGGTTTAGGATAAAGTTAATAAAGTGCTAAGCTGTGAAAGTGAGATGCTGGGCATATTGGTACAAAGACCGTGTACATGCCATGCTGATAAGTCTGTCTATTTATTTGTTTTTCTGTAAGACTAGCAGCTAATTTTCATTTCTGTATTTAGAGCCACAGCCTGTCCAGACTGTTTCAAACCAGCAAAGAACAAACAGGTAGGATCTCATCATTGCCTTATTTCTTTTCTGACATTCAGAATTCCACAGCGGTAGCTACAATGGAGAACTTATCTGGGTATTTGGTCAGTGTTTAATGTCTGCTTTGTCTTCATCAAAAATATCTCTAGTTTTCAGTGGTCTGAAAATAAAGTTGTCTCCTTTATTCACTTAACGTTTCTCTGCTTAGAAAAACTAAGAGCTTAGTGCTTTTCTTTAGGTCATTCATTTTGCAGACTATCTGAAGGCCATAATTTTAGGAATGTTCTCTGTAAATACTTCCCTTAAGAGCTAGGAATTTGATTGTCATGCATTAAAAGTAGCATAAAAGTTGATCCTCAAGCTCTCTGTGGGTGAAACAGTTCAGATAAGTCGCATTGTGAAGATGAGACTGCAGCCAAAAGAGAAATGATCACACTGCAGTTTTCATGTCCTCTGATCTGAATGAAAGACACAATACATGCGGGATGGTTTTATACTGTCTACCTCTGGAGGAGGGGAGGAAAGAAAAGGGACCTTGCCACTTGTTGCAGACCCTGAGCACGCACGCAATCGTTGACAGAAAAGGGGACATGTAAGAATAAAAAAACCACAGTTGGAGAGAAACTGATATAAGTAGGACAGTTGGTGTGATCAGAGGGAGAAATGTAACTTCTGTCAGAAGCCTGTGTAAGGCCTTTCATTCTTTGTGGTGAAGAGTCTACCGACATTTGGCAGAGGCAGTCTGACCCTGGAATTCTGCCTACTCTACTCCACCTGACCAATAAACACAAGTCTTTTTTTAGAAGGATTGTATTGTTATAACTCACTGCTTGCTGCATTGCTTTCCTTTAAAAGGGGGGAAAGCCCACATAAAGAGCTAAACCAGCAGGGCCTGGCTGTTAAACCACACAGGCAACAAGATGTAGGGGAATCTAAAGGAAAGAATACCGACTCTGAAGAGCCATCAGAGCTTCATCCTTATGAAGAAGCTGTGCTTGAAGCTAGCTTCAAGGGCTCTGTTAATCAGAGAAGTAGCATAAAAACTGAGTACTGAGTGAAAATTTCTGTCATCTGCTGTAGATAGTTATATAAATCCACCACTAGTTTCTAGTTCATCTCTTCTACAAGGAAGGGAAGTGCTGTTGTCTCTAATTTATGCTTAGAAGGAGAAAGAGCAGCTTTCCTGAAGGCATCCAGAAACTCTGTGTTAGAGCAAAGACTTGAATTTTCCCAAACAGTGACCCAGTATTTTTCAGGTTTTTTTCCAAATCCATAATCCAGTTGGCAAAAAAGACATCATTAAATTGGAAATTCAGCAGATGGCCATTAAGACAGTCAGAGGGCTGGAGCACATGCCCTAAGAGGAGAGGCTGAGGAATCTGGACTTCTTCAGCTTGGAGAAGGCTTTTGGGAGGACCCAACTGCTCCCCCTAGTACCAACAGAGAGATTATTAAGAACAGGGAGCCAGGCTGTTCATCACAATGCATGGTGGAAGGATGGGAGACAGCAGAAATAAGTTGAAGTGAGAGATTTGGAGTAGATAAATGAAAAAACTTTTTACCATGAGGACAGCTAGACAGTGGAGCAGGCTCTGCAGAGAAGGTGTGCAATCCTTGGAAGATTTCAAAACCTGACTGCATAAAACCCTGGACAATATGGTTTGGTCTCATAGCTGACCATGCTTTGATTAGGAGGTTCATTTAGGGACCATCTGCTGTCCCCTGCCTTCCTAAAGTAGGATTCCACCTCACCTTTTAAAAACACTTGTTTCTTCTGTTCTAGGAATCTAAATTCTGTGGGTTTTGCCTTAGGCTCACTTGAGTTATCAACAGCAGCACCTGCCTGCGCATAGAGGATGGTAGTCGTGGCTTCTGCTGCTATTGTACTATTTTTAGTGTCAGTTTACCCTTGTGAGTTGCTGCAGCTTGTGAGTCCGAAGTTGCTTGTCTTCCACAGTTTGGGAACTGCCAAGCCCTACCATTCAGAGCCCTTACTTCTGAGTACGAATGAACTTTTGAACTTTATAAACAGATACCCACTCAACAGTCTGATTTTTCAGAAGAGCTAGCTGCCTACTGTCACTGAGATAATAGCTGGGGCTTAGGTATACTTAACTCTTGAAAATGGGGAAGCTGGTTTCAGTTTCTGTTCATGGATTTAGGATTCTGGTTTTAATCTGTTTTGCAGATTTGGACCTAAGCTCCCAAGCACTACTGTTTTTGTTCTTGCTTTTGCACACTTTTTTATATCATCTGAAATAAGATAGTTTCCAGACATACACTTAGCATTTCTTTTGGCTAAGCAAAGGGCAGGTTTAGCAATTGAATATTATAAGGAGTTGAAGTAGGTTTATTTGGAAGTGTGACAGTAACTTTAGACCTGCTCAAAGTCAGTGGCACTTGTTATTTTTTTCTGTGTAAAAACAGAGTAAGGAAACATACACTGCTGTTTATACCTGTCTTCTAGAAACAAAGGGGCAAATCTTAGTTCTATGACTAAATAACTGTTATGTTCCAATCTGTCAGCTTTATGAGTTGCATTGCTTTTATGTCGTGAGTAAAGTTAGTTGGATAGATTTTGGCAAAATCACCTGTTGCTCTTTGTTGCCGTATTAAAGTTGGGGTTAAGATCACAGTGAGTTCTTGCTGATACAGTGTTGCTTTTAGGTATAAGAAAATACAAGTAAAAAACAATACTGTGAGACGCGTATGGTGTGTATGTTTTAGGGGTTTTTCTTCGTTAGGCATATCTGTTCTTGGCTAATCTTAGTTCTTGACTCATTTTTTTATTTCACTGTGCAGTCTGTTTTCACTAGAATGGCAGTTATAAAAGCCCTAGAGAAGATAACAGAAGAGGATTTTCTCAAGTAAGTATCTACTGAAACTAGTTCTTAGTAGTGTGCTTTTGTGTGGAACTAGGATGGGGAGGAAAATATTAGGTGGGTAAGTAGTGGTAAGATGTCTAAAATAACTTACAATTGTTTAATTTCTGCTAGTTTACTGGTTAAAATGTGTTGTGTTTTTTATTCTTCTGGTACTAGAATATCATTCCAGATCTCTTAATTAAGGAGTAATCTTAAAATGCTTGAGTTAAGCCACAGAGAATGGAATACTGGACGTGACACAAATGGTGGTCTTTTTCCCATTAGTAAAACTGTTTAATTGGTTGATTATCTCAGGAGCAGCACAGAGGAGAAACTGTGGGTCAGAGAGCTGCAGTTCTGCTCTGTGCTTTTGGCACTATGTCACTGCAGATCTCTGGGCTGGCTTGGGATTTAGAAGGGTTAGAAGTGAAAACAGTTTGCTGTGCTGCTGCCAGTCGTTTGCATTCAAAAATCTTTATGTACATCCCCAAAACCACAGAAGAGATTTAGAAATCATGGAACTTCCTTCTGTATTTTGAACCTGTGAGTTTGTAAGGCAAACTTCTCTTTACAAGAAAGACGTTTTCCCATATTTCCAAAATGTTAGGAGTTGAGTTTTAAGAAAACATCAAGTGCTGTAATATGGTAAAAATCACAAGCAGTGGGAATACATCAATAGACACTTTCTCTGTAGTTCACTGTGCTTAATCACACTAAGTCTTCTCGGCTCTTTTCTTTGATTTCCAGCAAAGATTTAGTAATCGATCCTGAAGACAGTTTTCATGCAGTATTTGGTGCCATTATTGCTATAGCTATAGTACAGTACATCTTATTAGCACACTTCGGAGTGTTATACTTCAATAATATTTGATGACGGATTGACAAAAGTATTTGCAATGCAGTGTTCTTTATTTGCTTAATGTTTATCCATTTCTTGGTGTTCCAGTTCCAGCTTTTAATGTGAATACTGAGTTCATACCTTAGCTGTGTTTTGTGTAACTGAAGTCATCATCTTTCATGCCATTATTGCTACAGTGATGCTCCATCATGTTCTGGTATTACTAGTATTTTTTAATCTTTTTTTATACAGGCATTTTCCATGTCCCCCAAGTTCACCAAAGAACCTCTGTGTTGCTCTGGAAATTCAGTGCAATAATGGTGCTGTTTTTGTGGCTGGTAAAGTGATGCATTTATTTGCTGCTGTGTTGTCTTAAACATAACTTTATAATTCTGCCATGAGACCCAGAAGGCTCTTGCTATTTGTTGATTCCTGTAATTAAGTATAAGGAACAAAGGAAAAAATCGAACTCTATTCAAGAGTGGCCTTGTTTGGAAGGGGAAGTTATACTTGCCTTTGCTGAAGATGATTTTGTCAAAAGTTAGAAATTACAGATCAACATGCCAAAAATCAAAACTATGTGCCTGCTCTTTTATTGTGAATTTAAACTTGGAGATAGTGTGTGGTGGAATATGGTTGAAGAGGAGAGGGAGCTGCAGTGAGCTGTACCAGGGCCAAGGTAGGGTTCCCATGGTAGGAGCTGCAGGAGGGGAGCATGTCACTTCAGCTGCTTCCAGTGTGCACACACCTCCCTTCTGGATATTTAGGAAGATCCTGCTTTTCCTTGCCCTTGTTTTTCTTTTGCTTTGAGAGGTAGAAGAGTTCTCTCTCCTAGAGACAGCACAGGGTGATTTGAAGATTTAAAACAACTTACTTTGTGCCTCTGCTCAGTAAGGGGGCTTATCCAGAACCAGCTTATGAAACGAAGAATTTTGCCCTGTTGTCAAAGCTGGCTCTCCTTTATCCCTGCAGATCTTGCAGTTGTAATATGTCCTCTCGTAGTAAGCACTTGGTTTGGGAAAGGCACTTCCCTGCTCAATAAGCTCCCAGCAGTGCTGTTCAATTGCTTGGATTTTGATTTGGATTTGGTGGTTTTCACCATCTGCATTTATCTGCATATTATTCAATCTAAAACTGCCAGTCTTGATGGGGTTAATAAAGGTTAAATTTTGGAAAGCTTAGTTCTTTCCAGTTCCCCCCTCCAAACCGAGATAGCATCTGAAATAATGGGGTGAGGCAGGTAATGCAACAACACTTAGTGTCCCTGATTTGAGATGATTCAACTTTTTTTGTCACCTGCCTGCAAGAGTATCTAATCTTCCCCCAGTCCTGTGTATAAGCAACCACTTATTTAAATATAAGCAAACAGATTATTTAAAAAAAAAAAAACCCAAAACCCAACAAAACAACAAACACTGCTATTTAAATCCAGCATACTATGTTTAAAAGGATGGTACAAATCCTGAATAAAGGAAAACATAAAATCAAAAGAAAAAATGCAAAAGTGAATGTTCTCATGGCAGGCTAGTCGATGTTCTATACATACGTGTTTCTTAATTTTAATTACTGATTAGACAGTTAGATTGTACTTTTTCATGAATCCAAGATATCCGGTGTCTTTTAGCCTTTTCCAAACACACTGTTTTATTTTAGGTTGCTTGGTTGGATGGTTTTAGCAGAATTCATCTGCATGGAGAGAGACAGAAGGTTAGCTTTCTGCACGTGATTTAATGCTGGGTTTGTGATTTATAGTCTGTAACTTGCTCCAACAAAAAAAAACCCAGGCAGGATGTTGTCTTTAATTTTTGAAGAATTAAATCCAGAATAGAATTTCTTAACTACAGTACAGTTATTTTGCTATTATTAAATGAGACAGGAACTTAATTTGTAAGCACAGTTTCAGAGTTGATATTGCCCTCTTGACCTTATCTTTGGTGTTTGGTGATCACTTCCCCTCCCTAACTTTTTTTTAAGGGTTCAGGAGAAGCTGTCAAACCGAGAAACACCTTCTGTTTTTTTAACCCACTCTTGTTCAGATCAAAAGCTAAAATTATTAGAATGGGGAGTTGAGAGGAAAAAAAAATATTGTTTTCCTTTTTCCATTTTATGGAAAGAGAATTTAGCAGTGTGAAGCTGACTTCTAAATGATTAGTCATAGTACTTTCATGATTTGCCCCAGTGAAACGGTATTAGTCAGTGTCCCCATTTATTTGTGTGGGTTTTTCTGCAGATCAAAATGCAAGAAGGAACCATTGTTAGAAATAGGAAAATATGATACTGAAAACCAAAAAAATTGAGATGACAGAGGCACAGTATAATAGGCATAGCTCCTTTGAACTCCTTTTTTATTTTCTATATGCAAGGTTTCAGATTAAAACTTGTTTGTGCAGGGGGGATACTCATTTATGAATGAGTTCCTTGTTTTGTGCATATTTTCACTTCTTAATAAGAAAGCTCGTCTTGGACATCCATGCCAGACTTGGTTTTTCACTATAGCAGCCCTTGTGTCACAGGAGACAGCAATGTTAGTGTGACATAACAGGAGACTAGGACTGGAATCAGTCAGAGGATGGCAATCTCTTTACTTGGCAACTCGTCAAGGTTCTTGAAATTAATTTTGTTTATTGTTGAGTTATTTTGCTCGCATGGTTTTGCTTGTCATGAGCCAAAGCATTTTAGTTTGGGTTTCTTTTTTTAAACGTTCAGCCAATGGCAGAACTTGTATTGAAGACTGGACTACTTGATACAGGAGGCTGTGGGAACTTCGTTACTTGGGACACATACCCATTGGTGGACAGGCATGTGTAGCACCAGTTTTGGCATAGGGGTGGCTGGTTCAAGACCATGCTCTGATGGCAAAAAAAAAAAAAAAAAATCATTCAGAATAAAGTTGATTCAGACCAGGCACTTGAACCTCTGGGTGTTGTTCCCAGCTGTGTCAGGCGATACACAGTTTTGTTTCTGTGGCTATACCTGAAGGTATGACTGCAACAGTAGGCTCTCCAAGCCTGCCTTTGAGCTGTCTGTCTTGGATACTGAAACTCCCGTAGGTGCAGCAGCATGTGTTTCATACTGTTGCTGTAATGCTCTTGCCTGTAGATTTATTTTCACAAGGCTCCAATGAACGGTAAATGTGGTGTACCCTGCAATACTGGAGCTTTTGTCCATTGCTTTATAATGATTACAGGTAACTTAGTTGTTTTTTACAGGAAGGTACAACAAATATTCAAGGAATTTACCTCAGACTCCCTGGATTATTGATGGGGAGCGGAAGCTGGAATCTTCAGTGGAAGAACTGATTTCAGAGCATCTAATGTCAGCATTCAAAGCAGATAGTAAGTATCTAGGAGATCTTTTACCATATATATTTTTCATCATTACTAGAATACTTTTTCTTAGTAGCTACTCACTTAATACAAGAGTGTAATGGAAAAACTGTTTCTTTATCCCTCTCTTATCCTTCCAAGTCAAAGCTTGTAAACTTTTTTTAGCTATGATCTGTGAGTGATTAGATTACTGCTTTGTTTTATGCAGTGTCTTTTATCATACTAAAATATCTCTTCAGTTGATCCAATGATGCAAATATTACAGTTTTATGTGGTGGTATTTTTGCCTAGCCATACTTAACGGTTGGTAATTCATAAAGTAACTTGTAACGAGAAGGTTTTTGCCATCAGTGTTCCATAATACCTGCCTAACCTTCGACCCCTTCATGATTAATTCATTTTCTTCACTGCATAAAGTTCCACGAGCTAAATGCTTCTCCAGGGATTATCCACATGAAATAATCACTGCCCATCATATGTCGTCTACTAGATGTGGAATTAGAGACATAGAAGGCCCAAGGAAAAATTGCATTAAAAATTAGTTTGGCAAAACCAGCTACTCACCCCTCCTCCCGGTGGATATGTTAGCGTGAACACCAGGAAAATCCTCAAACCGTGTCTTTAGGCCAGGTATTGTGTAACACCTCATTTCAGCTTGTGGAATTACCACAGGTGGCTAACAGAAGTGCGTGTGCAGTAATGTTGAGATGTAAACAAATAGACCATTGCCAGTAGGTCAAGGGAGGTGATCCTTGCCTTTTACTGAGCACTGGGGAGACACATCTGGAGTGCTGGGTCCAGTTATGGGCTCCCCAGTACAAGAAAGACGTGGGCATACTGAAGCAAGTGCAGCAAAGCATTGTGAAGAGGGTTAAGTGTCTGGAGCATTCCCAACTAGAAAATTCTGGTAGTGTGACCAAAATTAACCCTCATGACCATGGAAGAATTTTCTCACAGTTATGTAGTTGCCATAATATAACCAGAGAAATGAGAGGCAATAAAAACCAAGGAAATCTTTATGCACTCTTTATGTTCCCTATGGAGGAGAAATTTTGAAACTGTGAGTTTTTCAGACCCTTTGGAATACAGCTGCAACCTCTGGTGCAGGTTTGGTCCCCCATTACTGCTTCAAGCGAAGCTTAAAGGTGGGAGGGGTATGGTGAAGGAAACTAAATACCGAATGGTACATTTTTGTAGCTTGAAAGATTGAAAAAACCCAAATACACAGAGGTTACTTTTCAGTTTGGACTTGAATTTTCTTCCTCTTTTGTCCAGATGTGTGTGACTAGTGTAAATTTCTCTGATATCCTTGGAAATCATTGGGTGTATTTAGGATAAAAAGATGTGTTTTGAAGAAAGATGGCTCCGTTTGATTTTGTTCATAAATTTGAATTATCTTGATAAGAAATGAACAAAATTAATAAGTAAGTGGAATTCCTTTAGGATGGTACTGCTTTTTTCCCGACATTTTCAGGGTTGTAGCGGTCTCATTCAGGCCAAGGAACTAGGAGTGCTCTTCAAGAAACTTGTGAATCTGATGCAGTAAACAGTAACTGTCCCAGATTTGTTCAAATACAGTGCAGGCTTCATTTTCTGAAGATAGCTCTTTTGAAGTGGATTTGCAAACAAGTTTAGAAAGAAAATAATTCACCTTTTAAAAGCTGTAGAGAGTATTAAAAATGTAAAATAAAATCACACCTGCCTTGTTCAAATCTGTTACAGGCTTTAATTTTTCTTCCTCTGGAAGAGAAGATGTGGATGTAAGAACACTAGGCAATGGTAAGGCTTGGAACACCCCTGGTGAAACACAGAAACAAACAGAATGGTTAACCGAAGCTACCCTAATAGATGTGCTGATGCCAAGTGCATAAGTGTGTGACTAGGCATGCTTTCAGCTTTTATCTTGGAAACATTGTAGTGATATTTATGTATTTGTTCCCAAAGACTGAGCAGTTTCGTAAAACCAACTGGAAGAGGAGCCCCTTTTCAGTGTCCATGGCTGCACAGAGGCACGGAAATGCATAGCTTGTTGGGAGTATTTTATTTTATTCAGTTCTTATTTTTAAGCCATTCATGGCAGACTGATTCCTACCTTGTTTTCTGTTGGGTCCTTCTACTTTGCCTCTGTCACTGGGGAACGAGGAAGCCTTCTTTTCTTCTTGAACTTTATAAAGGTCAGTTGCTTTCCAATGTGCTGAAGCTACTGTAGCCAAAGGAGGAAGGGAAAGTAAAAATTAACAGTGATGTGTTTCAGTTGCTGTCTGATTTGTAGTGTAGTTCTTGGCATTGCTTATACTGGGGATCATCCCTGGCCCTGAGCACAAAAAGTGCAGCTATTGCAACAGATGTTTAGCTGAGGGAGCGGGATTTAACATCATCTTGCACCTGGGCATTGCTGTAGGTGACAGAAAATAAGCTAATTAACTTTTTTTCTTATTTTATTTTTTAATTAGCACAGACTTGTACGAGATGTCTTCTGGGAAGCTATAATTTGCACTTATTGCTGATACTGGGGTTTAGTAGCCAAAAAAAGTCCCTTGTTTCTTTCCTTCCATGTGATGCTACATCCCTAAACCCGCAAGTCCTATCCCTGTTTGTATAACAGCAGACAATCTTCACACCTTCCAACCTTACTGCATAAATTCAAACGTTAATTTAGAACAACATGTTTTTATGTTTTATGACTGTGCATGTTGCCAGGAAGGCCCTTTGCAATTGAGCTTGTGAATCCTCGTAGAATACGTTTTACTGCTGAGGAAATGAAGGGACTTCAGCAGGTAAATCATTTGCACCTCATGGAACTCATAAAGCATGTGTTTCTTCTCTAACTGAGCAGTTTTGCTAACTGAATCTTTTTTAAATATCACAGACAATTAATAATTCTTCAGACAAAATAAAGGTTCGAGATTTACAGCTTGTCACCAGGTCAGTATTTATTGTTGCTGGCAAGGGATTTCAAAGTGATGCTTTGGGAGTTTTGCAAGCATACTTGCTCACAGCGTTATATAATTATGCTTATGTTATGTGAGTAATTAATTTCTTTTGTTTAGAGAGGCAATTGGTCGTATGAAGGAAGGTGAAGAGGAAAAGACAAAGACCTATAGTGCCTTAATATGGACGGACAAAGCAATACAGAAAGAAGATATTGCATTTCTAGATGATATCAAGGTATCTGTAGCTCTTTTTGCTAATCTATCTAGTACCTTTCCTGGTGCCCTAGGGCAGAGTTTATATACATACGCCCATGGACATATCTCTTTCTCTGTGTTTGGGGGTTTTTTCATCAGGGTTTCTCTCACAGTAGGGACTTTCATAACTCCCTTCACACTTCTCGCCCTTCCTCACTTCACCATGTCGTCCTAGCCATATAGCTTGCTGGCTGTTAGCCAGAACAACAAATTATTGTATAATGTTGACCTTCTAGTGGACCAAATAATAAAAAGTGATGAATGGGAGAGGAGGCTATCTGACATCTACACCTGTTTCTTTACCTTAGATAGTGTTTTGCATAAGTGAAAGGAACAGAGAAGGTCTTTTGTTCTGCGAACTCTAAAGCCATTTTCCACAGCTGCAGTAATTAGGAGTTTGAAATGTCTATGGAAAATAATGCAAAGAGGCCTTAGAAAGTGCTAATGAGAACTTTCTGCAAATGTTGGTCAGGGAGATACTGCTAGGGGAGAAGTGTGTTCAGTTTTTGTTGTGTTGCACCATTTCCTGTGGGCCTTGGCCATGAAATCATTCTCAAAGCGCGGGCTTGAGCCATTACAGTTCAGGGAGACAACTGTTGTGGGTTTTTTAGCATGTTCACTCCCTGAAAAGCTGCTGCATCTCATTTGGGAAAAGGGGGTCGGGAATGAACTTTTAAAAAGACTGTTACGAGATGTAATCTCATTTCGGGGTTTTTTTCATCACTTGTATTTCTAGGGGGTTGGCTGTAGTTTAGACAAAGCATTTTGTGGGTGGGATTTTTTTTTTTTTTTTTTTTAATTGCCCTGAGGCTCTCAGTGAGCTTTTAAATCCTGGAGTCGTTCCAGCAAAGGACTATAGAGATTTCAAGGTTATTCCTCTGTATTTGTGATTCCATTAGTTTGTGTTCATATGAGGCCTTCTCATTTAGCCTTTGAGATGGCTGTCCTTTTTTCCTTTGATAAACATGGAAAAAATTAGTCTTGCCTCAAGAAGATTACTCAACTACCATAATACAATATAAAAAAGATGTGATTGGTTAACAATACGTAAGATTCTTACAATCTGTGCAGTATGTTGCACATTTCCTTCCTCATTATTTTGTTACCTCGTGTCACAGGAATTGAAACTTGACCAGAAGACACCTCTCCGGGTTCTTCACAGAAGGCCTCTAGCTGTAAGATGTCGGATCATTCATACCATGAAATCTGAGTACATAGACGAGCATCATTTTCGCCTGCATCTGAAGACTCAAGCAGGAACGTATCCTTAGATGCTGTTACACAATGCGTTTACGAAACAGCTTGCTGATTAGGGTAATTCGGGTAATGAGAAGTTTCCTGCTTTTATCGCTGGGTTGTTTCTAAATCCCTGCTCTTCAGCAGTCAGATGTTGCTGCATAAAGTTTGCTTTTGTGTCAGAATTTCACATTCAGGCTTTCATTCAAAAATACCACCTCTGTGTGTGTGTATTTTTGTGATGGCCACTCTGATAGTTTTAAAGTATGTAATAGCTATAAAAATGTACTGGTTAAGCTTTTTCTAATTTAACTGGAACCTTTTTGCCTTAAAAAATAAGCTTTTCTGTAATATTTAATGCACTGCAATGCAGACTGTAGATTACTGCTACTTACAAGTTACCAGTCTTGTCATAAAGTCACCACTGACTTTGGAATAAAACAGAACGTACAGGTCGATAGTGCAGTTTTTGGCATCAGAATCAGAAAGCAAGGATTAGGAACTCTTTTAAAGGTGGGTTTGGGCTTAACAGGACATTCGCTGCGAATTGGCTTAGGAGTAGAAAGACACTATTTTTGCTTTGAGCGTTTTTCACCAGGCTCTTTATCTTTTGATTTCTTTGTGATAAAATACACCTTTCCTTAGCTAGTATGTCTAGCTACATTAAAGAATTTGTGCATGGAGACTTTGGAAGAACAAAGCCCAACATTGGCTCCCTGCTGAACAGAACTGCCGACATTCTGGAGCTGGATGTAGAAGTAAGTTGTTTGCTATTTATCTTTCCTGGAAATTAGTAATGTAGTTGCAGTTGTGAGATGGTTTCAGTGGAATCAACGTTCCTTACCCCAGTTAGTAGAAAAATTGATGTTAATGCAAAAATAGTGGTTTGTACCATGCTGCCACATATGACGGGCTTCCTCTGCTGGATTCATGTTGGGGAGAGAAGGGAGGCCATACTAGGAACTGATGACACTTATTATTAGCCCCACTGGAACAGAGCCTAGCAATGTTACATGTACCACGTAATTTCTTTTCAAAACTGTGTCAGATGAGAAATAAGAGAGATTTGACTTCCTTTTTCGATGCTGGTTCAAACACAGCAAGAAATTATATCTGCTCACTTGCTGGAGTCAGATGAAAAACCAAAATTTGTTTTGGTTAAAAGAACGTATGTAGAGATATGGATTTAATATTTAACCTAGTGGTTTGGCAAGGTTGTTTAAAACATGGGGGTTTTTTTAAGTAGCTGTTGTTCAGTGTGCTTGTTCTCATGCATTTCAGGAAAACTGTCCACGTGTTACATTTTGCAGAACAGCCTTGCAGTTTTTTTGCGTATCTTTTGTAGGACAACCAAGAGAGAGAGCTTGCAGAGGGCACTTCAGTTACTTCTGAAAACAGGAACATCTGTCTTGGGGCTAGGGCTGATCTCATCGCTCTCATACAGATAGGTGTCACTACAGTTATTTGGCATAACTATGAAAGATGTCCAGGGACTTGAAAATAATTAGTGATCTTGCTAATAATGCATTTTAGCTCAGCCTAAGAGCGTAATCCTTTGATGAAGCTGTAGATTAGGCAAGGAGTAGGTGTGATTAATGTAGGCAGTCTTGAAGCCAAGGTGTTTAATGTGCTGCGTGGTGATCCCTGTGTTGTGATTGCAAATGGTGATATGACAGCAGCGTAGGCCGTGCTGCTTTTGGAAGAGGGTAAGCAACAAGTTTGTGCCCAAAGGGAATTGGAGATACAGCTTTAGGGAGGAAAGACAGAATCCAAGTTGTAGTAATTACGACATTTGCTTCTAATGAAGTGTCAAGCATATTCTGTCCCTTTTGACTAAGAGTCAGGATGACTGTTAATGATGTTGCCTAGGTAATTCTTGCACATAACGCTTGACAGCATATCCTTTTAGGCTAGTTTTCCTTGCTCAGAAGGCAGATGTAGGGACAGGTGATGGTTTTCTACGTGATTCTTGCCTGCAGCGCCCCATACCTGACTATGTCTGTGGCATCAATCCACAGGTTATTTGTTTTCACATCATTATGGCCCATCTGTAGGATGGGCAGAAGATGGAGATGCTTCATGTTTCTAATTAACAGTTCTGGAGTGTCTGTAAATGCAGCCTGACATCAAATGACACTGGAAAGTAGCAGGGATTCTGCTTTGTGAAGGAAGCCCAGCTCCCAGGGAGCTCTCTCCAGATGCACATGGAGCCACTAGAATGAGGTGGCTGTTTCATGCCACTGTCTCCTGCTTGTTTTGTCCCCTGTCTCTTATTTTAGTGTCCTTTATTTACTGTTTCTTTACACTATTAGCCTATAGCTAACAAGCTCGGAGTTCTGACACCAAGTCTGCTGATTTTGCCTTTTTTTCCTCTGCCTGCTCTTCTAGTCTGTTGACGTTGACTGGCCTCCAACCCTGGATAATTAACTTTTCAAGTTCGGACGAGAAAGAAGCAGTGACTCGTCAGCAGCTGGTTACTGCACACTGTATGGTATTACAGCATGGCTGCAAAGTATTTCTATTGAACATTTGGATCATGTTGATCTGTCAAAGGATGCTAATACTTTGAATCAACTTTGAACACTCTGGACCAGGTAGTGTTCATTCAATCTCTAGCCTTATTTTAATTTCTTCTGTGGATAAAAATATTTTGGTAAGCTAGTGTATTGATAATAAGTCTTTTTAAAAAAACAATTAAGATAAATCGTGTAATGTGCAAGCGGCGTTCTAAGCAAGTACATCAAATATGCATTCTGCGGTAGTTTAAAATGTTTTAATTAAAAATAACGGTCCCTCAAGCCAGAGGTTTTTTTTTTTTTTTAAACTCTCTTCATATTGGATGCTACAGCTTGTCTTGTCTGGATGCAGGTAGTTAGTTACCTGAAACCCAGTCTTAACTTTTTCTCAGCGCTGTTCATGCAGGAAATGCCAAAAGTCAGGGAAACTCTAAGAACAGCAGGACAGTGCTTGGAGCGAGGTGGCACTCCGCTCTCTGCTGACTGCTTTTTGGTCAGCGTCAGTTCTAGAGATGGGCAAATTTGTCTCCCAGACAAAGTACTTTTCAAAGGGAGAAAGTTTTCAGAGGAAAACTTTGCATTTAAAACCGCATTTTTCTCATTTAAAAACATCAGCAACACTTCTTAGAAGCAACAGTTGAGGTACTTGAGGGCTCAACAGCTCTCTGGCCTGGTTACAGTCCTCTTCAGGCATAGGATTTCCCCAGTGAGTCACCATATATAAAAAGATTGGGAAGTCCTGTCAGCGGTGCACAATGGAAATCTAAAGAAAAATAGGAATACCAAGAACCTCAAAGTACAGGCAAATATAAAATGTACCAAAGAATGCTGGTATTGAGACAGCAAGACAGAAATAAAAAGCTTTGGATTAGTAGCATAATAAGTTTTTTTCTAGTATCTAGGCTTGGATGGATGCCTGAAAAGTTGAACGTTGCCTAGAATAGGGAAGACCTGAGGGGTTTTTTTCTTTGCTGCTTTTAAATGTTTCGTACAAAGCACCACCCACATCTTTAGGAAAAGCCACTTTTATGCCTGTATCATGTTAATCCATTAGGAAGATGTTTCTGCTTACCTGAAGTGCAGAGGAGAGTTGAAACTATCAACAAGAAATTAAGGTTTGGAATTTAAGGGCTCTTGATTAATTAACACTTCAGAAATAGAGAGAGAGGGTAGTATTTGCCAAGACAAACCACTGTTTGGGGACAGGGAGGACCGCTGAGATGTCTTACCTTCAGTTCAGTGGTTGCCAGGACCTCACAATAGAACAGCTGCATGATAACTTTAGCTGAAGGCTCAAAAAGGCATTAATAGATAAATTTTCAAGGAGCTCCTAAAAAACTGATCTTGAAAAATTAGTCTAAATATCATACACTCTGCCTGTGATGGGCTGTCAAAACTTGTCTCTTATAATTTGTTTTCCTAGCCCACTGTAACCTAAGTATGGCAGTAGTTCAGAAGCTCCTGTTTTTCTAACACAAAAAACAATAGGAACATGATTCAGACAGCAATATTTTTTTGTTTTTAATCTTAAAGCTGTTATGAGCAACAGATTCCAGGAGTAGTTGTCTCAGATAATAATCTGTACCCAGAAAGGAAGTGTCATGAATGATGGAAAACTTCAGAAACTGAATTCACAAAACAAACAAAAGAGAATTTCAGTCTCATATCTACGTGATTTCTTGAAACGCAAAGTGAGCCAAAATATGATTTATAAATTCCATAAACTACAGGGGAAAAAAAAATGTAAACAAGACTGCACTATGGACAAGGCAGACATGCTCCAAGGGGGAAACAGAGCTAGCCAGGCAGCAGCAGAAAGGGCTCCTGCCGTAGTGCAAGGACGCTCAAGGCACTCCCAGCCGCAGCTCTTTCTGCACGATGCTGTACGTTATCGTGGTGGCAGCGCAGATCATGTTAAGAATTAAAGTGCAGATAAACAAGGCTATAAAGATTACACTAAATGTGCCGAGTCTAATCTCTTCTCCACACAGCGTAGAGAGGTCCACCAAAAATTCCCAAATTGCTTTTTATGATAAATGCGAATATCCAAATGAGGGGAAAAAGCAGTTGATGATGCAAGTATCTCTACAGCGCTTTAGTTATTGTTCCGTGATCATGTAAAAAATATGGAAGTGAGAGATGTAATCTGTTTTTTTAAACTTTGTTTAAAGTCTGCAGTTTCTAATACAAGGTAAATACTTTGAACTGTCATAATCTGTTAATGAATATTGCAGCAATAATAGTAGTGTTGTACTTTGGCCTTCATCTTATTTTTACAAGTGAATACCTACTTGTGAGTACTCAGATAGGATGTTTTGTGAGAGTAAGATTTAATCTTGTTCATTAGGCATGTGTGAAAGAGGTAGATATTTTCTAGCACGTCATGTGAAAAATACTAAAAAATGAGGTCCAGTGTTCCTTAGCACCATCCTTCTTTGCACTTAAAATAAAACTGTTGTATTTCTCTGAACAACTGGTCACCTATAATGCCCCCCCCTCCTTTTTTTTTTTTTTTTTTTTACATTAGCTTAGCTGAACCTGGAGAAGGCTGTACCAGTGGCCCAGCTCTAGCTGAGCAGGAAAGCATCTGCCCTCTCTGCCCCCCTGACTAAAAAGTCAATTGCTCTGCCCCAAAAAATTGCTGAGTGCAGGCGGATGAACCCTTGCTGCGCACATCGCTTCAGGTTTTGTACTGGCCAAAAGTAAATGCGAGCAGAAAATACTCCAAAAAGCCCCAGGATAAGTAACCCACAACCTACCTTCTCCCATTTCTCTGGCTTTCCTGCAGTGAGGGATGTCACGAATCTGAGAAGGTTGGAGAAGCCGAGTACTTAGTATAACCAGTTTTTTAATTACCAAACCAACTCGTTTACAAAGGAAAACAGAACTTTGAAAATATTTAATTATACAGTAAAAACAAATTGTACTATAAAGAGCTTTCTATGAAGTGAGTAAAATGTTTACATTTAATATACTTAAAACTGAGAACTTCAAAAAAAAAAGAACTGAATAAACAACACATTTCAAGCTTTCTTTGTATTTCTTTGGTCTTTCTATTACTTAAGATTGCAGAAGTGAGGAAAAACTGCTTTAAAACCTGGAGAGTCAACTCGTTGCATTGTGTACCTGGAGTCAGGGGAAGCAGTTTTCCAAACTTCATATATTCCACACATTGTCAAAGGAGTATATTCTGTCAAACCTGTGTAATTGGTGTAATGCATTACAGCAGCAGCACCTTACTGCTTTGAGTGCAATGAATTACTGCAGTAAAGGAGTCACTGCTTTCCTACAAACCATGGAGGGTTTTGGAGTTCCTTTCTGCCTTGCGTACAACTAGACGTCTCAAGTGGCTTTTGTGATTTGGGGGTTGTGGTTTTTGGTGTTGATGTATCTTTATGTAAGCTTTTCTTATTGCTGCTTTCCACGGTGCAGTTTTCTGTTGCCAAACAGTAACAATTAGATTCTTAAGCCTTATCTGCCATACAAAACAGCTGTATAACTTAAGAAATACTCATATATTTCTTGCTGTGTTGCTTCTTAAAAAATAATAAAATAGCAAAGCCCTATAATGCGGAGTAGAGTGTCTTACCTAGCCAGTTACATCCACGCGAGTTGTCACTGAACATCTCGCAATTCAGGCTAAGAGTGAAGACTGGGAATCGAGTGGAAGGGAGGAAGTTCTGGTTTCTGATACAGAGTATAGAGGAGTGTTTTTTAATTAGTACTGACTGAAACGGCCTTAAGTTGTTAACAGAGTGCATCTAGGTGAGGCTGCCCCAAGACTGCCCCAAAGCTTTCTTGTCAGGGAGTGGTGGGGAGGCAGGATCTGAGCCTTCTTTTAAGCAGTCACTTGCATAGCAGGAAACTGCCAGGATACCTGAGGAAAGAATAGGTAGATGCTGCGGCTCAACATGTGTCTGCAGTTCAAAGTAACATCCACATCACAGCTACACACACACAAAAAATAAACTTCCAGAGAAATAACAGCGTGCTCCATTCCTAAAGCAACAGGGGTTTGTCATTTAAAATAGTGCACTTTGGATGAAGTGCAGAGAAGTCCTTACTTTCCGTTCATTCTTTTGTGCAGTGATTCATTTACAACAGAGTTGGACTATTTAAAAAGTCAAACCTTCCGGTCTTTTAAAATATATCTAACAATGACATAGTCATTAAAAAAATTTTAGAGTAAATTTGCCTTCAAAGCAAATGGAGTGTGGTGAAAATGTGGAAAAAAAAAAAAAAAATCAAGGCATGATCTTGTTTTAGGAGAATAATATTTTATGTGAAAGAGGGTAAACCTTTCAAGTAAGGTGAGTAAAACTTAATTCAGACTCACCTGACGATGTTAGAGTGCCTGTGTGCAGGTTTTCATTTAATTTCTGTCCTATCAAAATTTGAATTCAATTTTCATAGCAAAAATGGTTATTTTTCAAACAATTTCAGCCCTGTGAAATACTTGAAACTGTAACCCTTCTGAAGATGCCAGCTTTTCCAGTTCCCAAAGGTAAGGAAGATTTATATGTGAACAATTCCCTTTTCCAACAGCGTAAAAATATGTACACAAGGTACTTCTAAGGGACAGAACCCCAAAGCCTACTCCCACCTCTCTTCTTATGGGCACCAGTCTTTGGGCTGTAATAGATAACCTGAAGTTGTGTCATGAAACTTGCATAGTAATGTTCTGCAAGAAAAAGCAGGGACTCCAGAAGGGCAAGTTACTCCTCTTCACACACCTAGCCATCTGAAAAGCGTTATGTACCCGCGTCCAGCCCGACACTGCTGGCTCAATGGTTATAGCTTTGTAATATGTTATCGAATTGGAAAGACTGATAGAGCTCATCAGTGTGGACACCATCAGTGTCATAGTACTGGTTCTCTGCAAGGCTATTCTGATGGTTTACGATCGGGTTG